ATAAAACATAAAACAATTTAAATTAAACAATATTTAAACCCAACAATAATTATTTATGACAAAAGGAAATAACAAAACTTAACCTTAAAAGAATATCTAAGTTAGAAAACTTAACTTAAAAACATTCAAGCCTAAACATAATAAAACTTGACTGTTCTTAATTCTATTAACACTTAATTTATACTAAATAAAAACATGACTTAATCTTATTCTGTTACTACAAAAAGCAGCTAAAAGTTTGATATATACCTTTTAAACACAATATAACAATGACATGGATTCACTATAAAGATTATAAAAATGTAACAAATACATCACAATTCTATGTCATCTAGCTTTGAGAATAACCCACAATAACCGCAAATGTTACTAAAAATACTTATTCATAATAGGAATTTGCCTAGTATATGCCTAAATTGGTTAGGATTTTAAAGTGCAGTTTTTCTAGAGAAAAACCGCAACAACACAGGATTTGGCAAGTTGCCATTTAGCTTTTGTAGCACTTTTCAGAAACATAAAGTCCAATTCCTAAACTAAAATCCAAAATCCAAATTGGTATATATCCAGTTATATGTGTTTTATATAACAAAAGGACTCACATTGAAATAACCTTATTCAAATTATGGAAAAAACAAGCAAATAGCTAATATATGCTATAACTTAACTTTGTCTTGTACAGTAAAGTTCTCTTAACTGATTATTTCTTAAACCACAAATCTCTTCTGTAGATAACATTAATTGGAAGGTTTTCCTAGTAGCTGTAAATCACACCATATTTTTTAACCTTAGGTTTTAAAACTAATTATTGAAAGGTAACTTCTGTTAATATTCACCTTAAACTTTTTTTTTTTTTAAACTTTCAAAGAATCATAATAATTTCTCTAGTAAAACTCTAAAAACTGCAACTGCATAAACTCATAATTACTTAAAATACAAAATTAACTCTAAAAGGGTATATAAAAACATTTTAAAAAACCAATGAATCATGACTTTTTAACAAACTGGGTACTATCCTGGTGTTTTTTCTTAGAGAGGGAGCAGGGGGGTGGACTGCTCGCCCTGCTGCTGCTGCAGCTCTGCTGTTATCTTTCTTCACATTCTCCACATACTCTCGCAGAGAGGAAAAACAGAGAGAAGGGAAAAAAAAAACCTCACAAAGTTAACTTTAACAAATGCAGTTGTTTCTCTCAATTTCCCTCTCATTGTTTGCAGATAGAGGAAAAAGGGCACGATTTTACAAAAGCAGGCGATGTTGCACGAAAAGTCTCTCATGGCCTGGTGCTAACAACAGTGACCATTGCAACTTACCAACTTTTAATTACAGTGATGAAGTTTGAACTAGATACCATATAGTTCGCGATTTTTTGGCTGTTTTGTCTCTCTTTGAAGCTGTCTGAGCCACCTGTTTCTGCTCAACTGCTTCTGTCATTGTTCAGCATAGCCTTAGAACTTTTCTTGCACTGCTTCTACCCTGAGGGTGCCCCCGCTCTCTGTGCACACCTCAGTGCTCCCCCATGTCCCGCTGGTTCGGGTGGAAACCAATCTAAATTTGGCTTCTTTTCTTCCAGGGTAGTAAAGCTGGAACTTAAGTAAGATTGTAGTGTTAAAAGTGGCTCCAAAAGTGAAGCAAGTAGTTCCGGATGTATCACATCCTGCCATAACTGAACAGATTCTGTTCATTGTTTCAGCGTTCGCTGAGGAACTTCTTCCTCGTTATTTTCTTCTCTCTGACTCTCCCTCCCTCTCTCCAAGGGCAGCATAGATAGGAATGCTTGCCCAGCAGTGGGAGGTAAAGGCATCTGCCGCTGTGATGCATGTAGAATTACGGGGCTCACAGCCTCAGCATATCTCGCTTTTCTGTTTTTTAAGGTATTAATTACAATCTACAAAGTTCGACTGAGAGACACAGTGTCCTTGCTCTTTTCCATAATTGCTGTTTCCCATATCAGAGCTGTTATTTCCGTCCGTTCCTTCACTCCAAAGAGCAGTGAGGGCACTGCCAAATGCCCATAACAATTAGCCCATATAATGAGCATATCCAGGTCTTTTTCCCGGGCTGCTTTGCCTCACTTAACGAGAATGCTAAGAAGCAGTTTCTTCGCCACCACAAATTCCACATCCATGCTAGCGGCAAACAATGGGGGGGAAGGTCGCAACCCCTCTACAACGCCCCCGCCCCTCGGACTCCCCCAGTGACTCGCCCCCCTTTATTTGCGGGCCACCTATCTGGTACTGATCCAAGGCAGCATCTATCTGCACTCAGATCCACTCCACCAACCTCAGTCCAAGGCTTCGTCCCACTGTGCGTGGACCCACCGAAGCCCCCCTGCCTGCAGGGCAGATATTGAGAGACAGCCACCTATTCGCCACCCTTCACAGAGGTAAATGTGAACGCCATTTATTTCTATTATTAACACACCTTTTATAGGGTTCTACAGGGTCTGCGGGCTAAGCAAATTACTATTGGCTAATACACACAGGTTTACATTCTTTCTCTTATACACAATGATATTGTTTTGCTTTACTCTCTCTTCTGCAGGAAGGTTTCAAGGACTTTAGTCTTTAATATCACAACTTATTTCAAAGACTGGTTTGTGCAGACAGGCCTTTACTAATATATAAAATATATCAACAAATCAATCTCAATGAGTGTCCAATTGCTAAAAGAGGACATCCAGGAGATTCAGACTGAGAAAGACCCTGAGTGGTTTACAAACCTTTTTGGACAATTCCAACTGGGAGCCTGGATTGCCCCTTTTCTCAATAATCTTTTATGGGTCTTTTTGGTTATTTTTATTGTGTTAATTATGTTTTTTACATGGTTTAAAAAAGGCTGTTGGGGAAGCTTATTTAATAAATAAAGAAGGAGGAGCTGTGGAGACCACTGAGTTGGCCAACAATGTAACCCCTCTCCTCTGGAGAGAAGGCCCTTATGCACCAGTTTGCCACACTCTCCCCAGGGCTAGAAACCCTAGGTAATAGCCTTCACTTGTGACAAGCAGAAAGGAGTCACCCCCCAGCATGCCTTGCAGCCCATGCAAATTTTGTGCAGCCCATGCAGATTCTATGTATCCCATTGGTCCTTCCCCTTTGCTCCGCCCCTGAACCTTCAGTTGCCTAGTCCTAATCCTCCTATATAAACCCCTACTCGCTCTGACTCCCAGGCTCTTTGTCCCTGGACCCCTCCAAGGAAGAAGCTGAATAAAGCCTCCTGAGGAACTCCATATGAAGGCTCCATCTCTTCTCTGCTGTGTCACTCAAAGAGCTACAATCACTCAACAGCCCTTTCTAGGGCTCAGAGCTGAGACCACTCTTGTCAGGGCAGGGATTGACCATGTGCCTGAGTGTGTCCTTCCACGGATGCTTCTCTGGGAAGGTCATGGCACCCAGACCACTACCCAGGCTGCAACAATTACTAACAGAAAAAAAGTTTAAAAAAAAGAAATATTCAAGCAAGACACCACAAATCATGTTTTATTAGTAAGGGATTTGGGGGAAAAATGTATCAATCTGACTAGAAGTATCTCTATTAAATATAGCTACAGATATTATACCAAATAGCAACTATGCATGTTTTCTCCCTCTTGAATGGGCAGAACAGAGTTCATTTTCACATTACATATTTTTGAGAAAAATGTTTCAGTATTAGATATTTTCCAACAGAAAAATCTGTCAGAGCTACTGAAAAGGAAAGGGGTCACAAGTGAAGTGTGACAAATATGTAGGATATTGTTTAAACAAAAGGCAATTCTAGCATTTGACCAAGTTGATCATACACTTTCACCAATGTACTTGGGTCTTAAAATGTAGGAATCATGGAGTCATTTAGGTTGGAAAAGACCTCAGAGTTCATTGAGTCCAACTGTTAACCCAGCACTAACCAAGTCTACCACTAAACCATCTCCCTCAGTGCCACCACTACATGTCTTTTAAATACCTTGAAGGATGGTAACTCCACCACTTCCCCAGGCAGCCTGTTCCAGGGCTTGACAATCCTTTCAGTGAAGAAATTTTTCATAATAGCCAATCTGAACCTCCTCTGGCACAACATGAGGCCATTTCATCTCATTCTATCACGTGTTACCTGAGAGATGAGATGAACTCCCACCTGACTACAACTTCTTTTCAGGCAGTTGTAGAGAGTAGTAATATTCTCCCTGGGCCTCCTTTTCTCCAGGCTAAACAGTCCCAGCTCTTGCAGCTGTTCCTCCTAAGACCTGCACTCTAAGAACTGCCTCAAATAAAATCTGTACTTTAGTTAGGGAAAGCTCTAGAAGTATAATGAGAGTATAAAATATAATCAGACAAAGAACAAAACGTTCTGGCTTGGGTTTGGGTTTTTTTTTTTATGAATCCAATTAGCTAAAATTTCTAAACATGCTGACATTCACAGCCCACAGACCTTAGCTCTTCTTTTTCTGTAACAAGAGAGAGAACAGGGATAAGCTGTCAGACCATCCCACTTCAGATCCTATCCCACTGTAGGCAAACTATAAATTAACATTATGTGGACAAACTAACTGAACTTTTAGGCAAGATAAATATTTATTATCATAGTAGCAGAGCAAAATCAAGGCATCTGTTCAAATTTTCTGAAAACTATGATAAAAGACTACTGACTAGAGAGCTACAGCTCTTGAACATAGAGATGTAATAAACACTGACCTTTCTTTCACTGTTTAGTGTTAAAAAATTATTTGCCTTTTCTAAAAAGGCACAGAAAAAAAAATAAAGAAGTGATAGATTATAGACTAAAGTGCTGCATAATATGTTTTTTTACTGGTAGGTTATCCCATTAGTGATTTTTAAACAAATATCCCTGAAGATATAAGATATTTTGGTGGGCTGACCCTGGCTGAATGCCAGGTGTACACCAAAGCCACTCTGTCACTCCTCTCCACAACTGGACAGGGGGAAGAAAAGGCCTAAGCTTCATGGGTTGAGATAAGGACCAGGAGAGATCACTCATAATATATCACCACAGAAAAAACAGACTCAAATTTGGGATATTAACTGAATTTATTACTGAATTATAGTAGTCCTATTAAACGAGAACTAAATCAGATCAGGATAATGAAAAGTAAAAGACATCTTAAAAACACCCTCCCTCCACCTCCAAACTCTACCTCCTCCCACAGGGCAGTTCAGGGAGACAGGGAATGGGGGCTATGTTCAGTTTATCACCTGTGGTTTCTCCTGCTACTCAAGCAGAGGAGGCCTTCCCCTGCTCCAATATGGGCTTCCTCCCATGGGTGACAGTTCTCTATGAACTTCTCCAATCTGAGTCCGTCCTGTGGGCAACAGTTTCTCATAACTTCTCCGACAAGGATTGCTCTTCCACAGGGTACAGCCATTCAGCCACAGCCTGCTCCAGTATGGGTCCCCCACAGGGTCACAATGAAACCTGCCCTAGCATGGGCTCCTCTCTCCAAAAACCCTTGTCACAACCCTGCTCCAGCACAGGCTTTCCATGGGTTCACAGCCTCATCTCAGGCAGCACCTGCTCCAGCACGAGGATCCTCCACAGGCTGCAGGTGGATCTCTGCATCCCTATGGTCTTTCATGGGCTGCAGGGGCACAGCTCCAGCATGGAAATCTCAGCTCCAGCACTGGAAGCACTTCCTCCCACTCCTCAACTTGTCTGCATAGATATTGCTCTGCCCACATCTTTTTTTTGTTCTTTAAATATGTTATTACAAAGACATCACTGTCCTTCCTGATGGGCTCAGCCTTGGTCAGGGGGAGGATGGCCCTGGGACAATCTGGCATTGGCCAGACATGGCAGAAGCTTCTAGCAGCTTCTTACAGAAGCCACCCCTGTAGACCCCACCACCAAAATCTGGCCACACAAACCCAAAAAAGATATTAATTCACCATAAACTATATAAGTGCTTAAACACCTTGGGTAGATAGTGGTTTTCGAATCATATATTTTTTTCTATTGAAAGAGATTTTGATAGGTACATTTAGAAAGGAAGATTTTAAAAAATGCTGCAGAAATGTCAGGATTTGGAAATATCCTGATATTTAAGACTAAGATTCTAAAATTATCTTCAGAATATGTTTTAAGTGATCCTATTGAGCTTTTATCCATTTTAGCATTGAGGAGTAAATCACACTCTTCACCATCCTCTCTCTCTAGCGAGCATCATGACTGTTCATCAAAACAAATCTTACTGCAAAAAAGTAAAAAGAAAGCTTACTTTCTTAGCATCTGGCAAAATTATGTTACTAATTTGTTTTGAAGAACACAACCCAACATAATAGTACAAAAACAGAGTAGATGACACTTGGCAAAAGTTTGAATTCCATTTGTTTTCATATTATATTAGCAGCAGAGATTTGGGGTTTTGTGGAAAGCTTTTTTAGTGTACATTTGTTTGTTTTTTTAATTCTTTTAATTATTGGAATTTGGTTGTTGACTTGGGGGCTTCATTGGATTTTTTTCTTTTAGTTTTTCCTTGAGTTGTTTCAGGTTTTTTTTTTGGTGTCAGTAATTCTAAAAGATTCTTTATTATTACAATCATGCAAAAAACACCGTTAACTTGAAAATATGTACGCTTGGGATCCCATCATGTTCTTGAAACCACTCCGGAGTCCTTTGTGAGTAAAAGATAGGGTATGAGAACTGACACAAGGCTCCAGAATATTAGAATATAAAATCATCTAGAATGTTAGCACAGATGAAGGAAGACACTTCATTTTTTTAAAACAGCATAGTTAAAAAAAAATTTTAAATCTCAAGGGTTTTTTATAAGGTAAGGTAGAAAACATTACACAATTGTTAACAATGCTAGATTGGCCTAAGTGTCTTAAGTAGACTTCCAAAACCAGCTTAGAGTAAGAAGACACATACTGCATCTTGAGATTGCTATAAATTTTAAGAGGTAGATGACAATATTAATCTAGTAGCAGTACAACTTTTATGTAAATATCATTAAATATTGTCTATACAGTGTCCCTATATTTGTAAGAGTGCAAAGAGAAGGGAAAACACTGCCTCTCAGCTAAAAGCATCTGTATTCATCTAATTCCTTGGTCTAAATCACTAGCTCTTCTGGAGATGCAGGTGGGGGAAATGAAAGGATTAGTAAGGCAGGGAAAAAAAATAAAATTAACCCTATTTGTATATGTAGACAGAACACACCATCAAGGCTGCAGTCTGGATGCAGACTGCAGAGGGTGGCTGAGCTCACAGCACAGTCCTCAGTTCATCTTGGCTACATTGAGTGGAAACAGCAGAAGCCCTCAGAGGCAGAAAAAGAAGTATCACAAGTTGTGCACAATGCTTCCCACAATACAAATTCAGACTCATTGCCTAATGTATTTTTAAAGGTGTTTCATTGCTGGAAAAGCACTTCTGTTCCTATTCACCCTATTCATCAGATTTCCGGGTTACCATTAAGAGGAAAAAGCAGTAAGTAATAGTAGCAGTGATAGAAAGGCTTTGTCATAGTGATGATCTGAGTGTGTTACTAGCCTGTCAGTATTGGTAAAATGTTGGTTGTTACTAAAAGCCATCCCTCTCAAAGTGTTAAAAGCACAGCTCAGTACAAAAATGGGATGACAATTTTTCTGTCCTTTGGATAGTCTTCAAATTTCTCAAGATACCATCTGAAAAACAAAGAAAGAAATCTGATGAGTATAGACTCTTCAAAACATTCTTGAGAAAATTAAATAATTGTACAATGTGTTTAATTTAATCCATACACGTTTTTGTCTACAAACAAAAAAAAATACTTTTAGAACCTACTCTGGATAGAAAAATAGCATTTAGTGCACTCACCCTAATGACATCTAATCACCAAATATAACAAAACTAAGTTACAGCTGCCAGCAATGGGAAATCAAACCAACAGATGTGGTGACATATGTCAGGGAAGGAATAACCCATTCTTTCAAAATGTATATTGTTACATATCCTGAGTATTTACACATTTTAGAATTAGAGGGAGAAAAATTAAATCAAAAACATGTCATTGCATAATGACTTCACATGGAAGCAAGGGATACTTCACACACTGGACTGAGAGTCAAATTCTGCATAGAAACATCTTTGGCTGAAGTTAGAATTTGGGTAATCAAACTGAACATGACAAACACTGAACTTGCCTTATTGCTAACACCCCTTAAAGACCATCACTAGTTTCAAATTCAGACAATTAAAAAAAAATGCAGAGCACTATCAGATATTATTTGTTTTCACTTTCCTTAACTAGCATATTTACTCCCGTTTTTGAATATTTGTTCTTCTGCTTCTCTGAAATAAAAGAACCAAGTTCACCTGGGCTCCTCGAAGGTGCAGATATTCATAATATCAACAGCTAATTGCAAGATCAAAGCTGGAATAAACAGAACAAAACATGCAATGCACGATAACCTGCATCTAGGGAATACAGTTATTACCCTATTTACCTATTTCAGTCATTTATTCTAAGTTTTTCAAATAAACAAACTACACTAACATGCTCCTTCACTTACATGGATTTGCTATTTTTAATTGCTTGGAGTTTTTTTCCTGTACCCCTCTTCCATTTTCATGCATTTTCCCTTTAGTCTAAAAAGCTTCTGTTAACATTTAGTTTTTCTTTATATTCTGAAAGAATGCCACCAAGGCTTAAGATTGATGGAAACCAACCATGGAATTTGAGCCTGAAGAATGTAATATACAAGGAGAAGCAGGAGAATCTGTCCTTGCTTCATCTGGCAAGGAGGAGACACTTAGAACTCATTTGGATGAGCCCTGGTCAACTGGGCAGAGCCTTGTGGTTTGCCCTGGCTGGAGCAGCCACACCAGTTGACTGGACAACCTTCAAATGCTCCTCCCAACTTAAGATACTCTCCAACTCTGCTCACTAATAGGAGATGATAAAACAGGAAGAGATGGTTATAGGCAACAGGTTAGGATACTTGTTCAGTAGGAGGATAATACAGACCCGGAACATCCTATAAACAAGGGGCAGGAAAACCTCTCTATATGGAGGTTTTCATGATGCCACTAAACATAAACATGGCTGCCCTCACAGATGGTCAGTATTTTTTTTTTAAAAACATTTTCTCCTTAAATTCATGTTTATTTCTTCTTATGCCCCTAAGTTTCAACACGAGAACCAAAACAGGAAACTGAAAATAACCAAAATAAAATCAACATGTTCAAATTCTTTTAAGCAGGCTATTCCTTAATGAAGTCCTTTCAGGAAACAAGTCTCCTCAAACTGTCCTTCTTGTTAGCAGGAAAGCCACATTATAAATACAGTACATGAGCAGTCAGAATGTTTGGAGCAGAGATTTCATTAAATATAATCTCCAGAACTGCTTTCATAATGTCCATACAACTGATTACAGTCAATATGATACAGACATGACTATAAAGTGTGCCTGTTAAAGACAGCTTGGGTGATTTTCAAAATTATAATAATACAGAAACAAGTTTGAGAAGGGAAAGTGTAGTATTTGATTAATTAAGACAATATTGCTAAACTTGTCTATAATCTTTACAGATCCAGGATGAACTACCTTCATTTAAACAAAATTTTGAGCACCTTGTTGCACTGTGTTTATGCTCTGTATTATTCTGCTGAAATTCTGCAGTACTTAATCTTCTCAGAGTATTCTCTATCATATTCTGCTCTAGAGCAGCAGTCTCTTTCACAAGACTTGCTCTGCAGCATCCCTATAGGATGAGGCATAATTTGTGAAACAGAAATGCTGTGTGGAATAGAGACAACAGAAATTACAAGGCAGGAACGCTTACTTGTGGTGTTGTCTTGCTCTTGAACCCAGGATGAAGAGAGTACACAACGCAAATGCAAGGCTTTCAATGGTGTAGCAGGCAAGGGCAAACCCAAACCATTCCAGGATCTCTCCAAAAAAGTTGGCTCCACTGACATACTCAAACATTCCTCCTGAAAGCAGGACAAAGTTACTTCAAAATACCTTAATCAAGACATCCAATGTTATCTTTTCTGCACACCAAATAGAAGCTCTATCACCAATGTCTTTAATCTTTAAAGTCAGTGGAGACAGCGTTTTTCAGTTCAAGCTGTACTATGAAGGTTCACTTCAGACGTCATTCTAAGACAGACCTTTTATAGCTCCATTTTTCCTCTTTAAATAAAGAAAGAAAAGTAGATTTATTATCATCAGAAGCAAGTACATGCCTTTGTGAATAATAACTTAATGACATGTTCTTTGATCATACACTAAACCTTTTTTAAAATATGTAGAAATAGAAGACATACATCCCTTTAGTCCCAGAAAATACTCATAGGGTTAGTTAGCCTACAATTTTTATTTCTTTAAGTACTTTAGGAATTAAGTTAATTATGAACAATACTATTATTATGAAGTAAAGTTCCAAATTTATTCTCTGGCTTACAAAGCTGTTGCACTTTTGTTTGCATTCCTCATCAGATCTGCTGTTTCAACCCTTACACTCAGTGAAAATTTGGCAGTCTGTGTTAAATCTATTGTATAGACAATTGTGCATAAACAATTGGTACTCAGCTGCTGGGAATTTTGTAAATTAAGAATTTCACCCTAATTCCAAAGCCGGTGTACAAATTTGTAACATCTCAGTATGTGCTTTACCAGTGAGAAACTATATTTGGCAATGGTAAAAAAAAAGTATCTGGCAGAAAAACCCCCCAAGTATTTGGGAAATGTAATAAAAGACATGTTTTGACCTTGCCCTAATTATACTACTTTTGTGACAAAAGAAAAGTGAAATTCTAGCACTGGATAAGCAACATCAGAAAGACCAGCTCCTCCTGATCTTACAGCAAATAACACATTTCCTTCAGAACCTTTCTGCACACTGAACATAGTACAGTATATTTATATTCATTTTTCACATAAGCACTTCAATTTACATCTATTAAAATTATAATTATTTTCACCTTCTTGGTGAAAAATATCAGCCTATCATACATATCTTAGTTCTTACAGTTTTAGTAAAATAAATTAACAACGAAGAAAAAGGAACAACTCAGAGAAAAAAATAGAGTGAGAACACAGAATTCAGAGGTAATATTCTTTCTGCTCTCAGTGAGTCTAATATACCCAGAAGAGTGTCTGCTTCCAAAAGTGTCAATAAACCTTAACACCTCAATACAGCCTCCACAAGGAGGCTTTCATATTCTCCATTTTCCCACGAAGGCCAAAATTAATAAAGCCAAATGAATTTGGATTTCTTTCCTCTTTTCCCTCTCTCTCTCTTTTCAAAATTGTTGCTATTCTGCGATTATTTAATCGACATGAGATGGATCACATGCTGAGTACTTTCTTCATTCCCCTCCTGCCCCCACAATGAGTTGATAAATTAGGTCTTTCTTCTCCACCCACCTGCTGATTCTCTGAAAAGTTGGGCAATGCTGTTACATTTTTACTCTTTTTTAAAAATATAGCCAATGTTGGTAAAGAAACCCAAAGATTTCCACAAGCCAAATGATACCATGAAATAGATTCCTTACAATACTTGGCTTAAGAGGAAAAAATAAAATGCTTCCCAAACTATAAAATCACTTCCTGTGGTAGAAAGCAAAATGTCATTTTCAGTTGCCTCTACTATCATAAATTACTATTTCCTCTAAAATACACCAAACTTTAGAAGGTCATTTTCACAGAGAATCATTTTAGGTTGGAAGGCATCTCTTGAGATAATCTTGTCCAAACACCACTGTTGAAGCAGGATCAGCCAGAACAGGTTGCCCAGGACTATGCCTCATCTGGTCTTGAGCCTCCCTACAATCTCTGTGGGCAACCTGTTCCACATCTGTGTGCTTGACCACCCTCACAGAGAAGAAAAAAAAATAAACAGAAAAATTTAGATATAATTTTATGTGATTGAATTCTGTGTCCAGTGCCTCTGGTCCTGTCACTACGCACCACTAAGGAGAGCCTGGTTCTCTCTTCTTTGTTCTCTCCCATCATGTATATATAAACATTGGTAAGATCTCCCTGAGCCTTCTCTTCTCCAGTCTGAACAGTCCAAGTGCTCTCCACCTCTTATATGAGAGATACTTCTTTTTGTTGCATTAATTTCTATACCATTTTACCTACCTCTTGGTATCTTGTAGCCAGTTTCCCCTGGTTTTCTCAGATTTCTGAGAATATGATCAGAATGAATATTGATGGCCATGCCAATCAACCACCCTAAAAAACCTGAAGAGAAATATTGAAAGTACTATATTTAGTGTACCATGTTTGTTCAGAAAACAAACTAGAGTCAGATATCACATTAAGCATATTGTCTCAAAGCAGTAGTAATGTAAGCAGCATATAAACAGTTCTGGTGACATACTGTACAGTCCCAGCCCCACACGGTGCTCTTCAGTCAGTAGAGCTCACGGTACAAACAGCTCCCTAGGGAAACTAGGGAAATAGCACTGTAAAAATGAAGTTTATTCTTATGTTGCTAGACTTATATAAATGTATGTATGTGCATATATGCAGATGTAACATGTATGTTTTCCTAACTTCCACACAGAAAAACAAATATGCTAAAATTTTACACATTGAAAGAAATAGTCATTTTCAAACTTCCCAGAGGGACATATCTTAGCCCCACTATCCTTTTACTATTTTACTGATGGCATATCATAATTTCCCCAACAGATTTCTGTGCAATAAAAGGAATACTACTGTGAAGGAATTAACATACCATTTACTCGTGCCATTCAGCAAAATGATTTAGCCATTTATTACAGCCTTTCACAGAAATTGAGACTGTCACATTCTGCATCCTTATGTTGTTGTGATGATGGGATAAATCAAAAGGAATTTAGGTTTGAAATTCATTATTTTTATTCCTCAGCAACATGGTACCTATGTTACCTGCCCTTGAAGGCAGCATTCCCTGCTGATAAGGAATAGATAAGGTCTGTTTTGAGGTTAACCAGTGCCTCATCTCAGATTCTATGAGTAGTTTTTCCAACAAGACACAATCATCTGGAGCATCCAGATCTATTGATATTAGGAGAAAAACTGATAACCCACATCCCTTGCGTACAAGATTAGATCCAGATATGGACAATGCATACGTGCTTTTCAGATCTGATGTATGAAGAGAGCAGAGGTGACATGTGCACTTAATAAAAACTTTATCGTGCCAGATAAAAAGCTTCGTGCAATAGTTGAGGTGCTGATGGTTCTGTAACCTGCACCTTGTGAGTTACAGGTGCTGTTCTGCTTGGCAGAGCTGCTACTAAAAAAGTGTTTTGATGCACCAAAGAGTTAGCCATCAACATGTGAAGGAAGTAGTTGAATAGGGGCTTACTTAAAGGAGTAAGAAAAGACATGGCATATTGCAAAGGGTTTGAAGAAGCTAAAGCAAGCAAAGGAAGAAAGGAGTTTCCAACTAAAAGTGCAGATAGATTAGGAAAAGACACAAGGGTGAGGCACAGAAGCGCTAGTGTCCTGTCTGTAAGCAGTCACCACTTGAGAGTATCACCAGCTCTCTTGGTAAATTCACAAGCTCTTTATTGGCATACAGGTGTAAGGTTCATGCTGAAAGATTATGATGTTGTTCTTGGTTTTGCAGCTCATGGTTCTGCATTTGAAGCAGAACATTAAAGTGGTTGATACGTATACCAGGAACCTCCACTTTCTTAGTTTTCACAAAAACTTTTTAAAGCACTATATTGATTAACAATAGTCACCGGAGCAACACTTCACTTATGTTTAATGCTACTAGAAATACATATAAGCATGTATTTCAAACTGGTATTATTTGGGAAAAAAGCAAACAAAACCACAAACTAATTCATACACAGAAGTATTCATAACTGAAGGCAGATGAACCTAACTATTGTCATTTATACATTTGCATCTTTCAGAAATCCTTGAAAATTAAAAAAAAAACCCAAAAACACCCCCAAAAGAACCCAAGGAAACTTAAGCAACAAGTCTTATTAACTTGATTTTTTTTTAAGATATTTGAGTAAGGAAGAACTGATTTATGGCTCCTTAATCATGATTTATTCACAGCACTGTATTAAGATATCTTTCGACTAAGATACTGAAAACAAAGCCTGCCTGGCTTCAGTCTTCAACAGTTTTGATCAACAAATCCTTTAATTTTTTTTTTTGCTGGATTCTGATTTCAGGCAAGTGGAAGTTTGAAATGACCAAGAAAATTTCAAATATATTCTAGTGCCCTCTGAAGTCATTCCTCTGTACCTCAATTTCTCTATTTTTAGCACACAAACAGAACTGCCTCCTAATCTTGGCAAGAGAATCTACTTAGACTGAAATTTCTTCAACCTCATATTCATGACAGTATTTAGCACAGTTGTCCTCTACTGTCATCCACCATAACACTGGAATAAAGACCAAAAAAATTTGTTGCTGTTGTAAAAAGTTTGAAAAAAAATAGGAGAAACACTAACTTGCTCTGGCTACAGAATGACAAAAAGAAGGGTACTGACTCAGATCAAGGACCTACACAGTCCAGTACTTTTCCTTTGACTGATGAAGCAAAATATTACAGTTTATCTTCAGATGCCAATGATCGTTCTGTAAAGATTTCATTAGAAAATGATACTATAATTTTGACAGTAGGCAAAAGTAGATGCCTAGGAAACACAAAAGTAAATAAAATACTTTGTCACTAAATACCTTAGCCTTTTAATCATACCCATGGCTTCGAGTGTAAATGTAACATCACTTCCCAATTGAGAGTGAATTATCAACCCTTCTACCCCTTCCTTGTGGGGCCAGTTTTGTCATTTGACAAAACCACCCACCAATTACATGGGCAGCTGGATTGGTGCCTGTGTGTGCATCCAGCATAGATATCCTGACACCAATGACTTGTAGCATTTGCCACGATAAATTAGTAGTTAGCAGCTATCCTTGCTAGATTTTTTTACTCAATGAATTAATTTACTTTAGTTTAATCTGCATATTACACAGCAAGTCCTTGCTTCTTCTAAATCTGTATGCTGCTGATTCCATGGAGAGCTTCAAGTTTCTACGTGAAAAAAAATATATGACCTGGATTTACTTGGCTGTTAAAGAGCAAAGATGACTATCAGATCATCCAGCACTGCAGAAAGAAGTGCCCGCTCAGTTCTAAAGTAAAAAAGGTTAAAAAGCCTCCAGCTACACCAATGAGAAAATTATGAGAAGGCTTATAAAATGGCATTGAAGATACTATAAAATCACAATAAAAATAATATATTTGAAGACAGATGAAAATTACATCTGATGTTCTCCTAAACATGATTTAACTCACCTGTAATGAAGCGTGAATCACCCAGCCAGCCAGCAGGGTAAATTGCATAGGTGGTTAAGCTTCGGCCCTGCAAGTATCCATTGAAAGCACAGAACAGAAGCGCTAAAACAAAAGTGAAAAATGGTGTTGGTTTTCCTTCACGGATCAGAAGAGGAAAGATGAGTGCCCTATAGCAAACAAAGAAAATAAAATTTATTGTATTAACCACAAAAAAAGAATTTTGAAGTCCAAACACTGTCCACACTACCCTACCTTTCAAATTCTCAGCACCAGCCCTTGATGCCTGTTAGAAAAGATAGCTGCATTTGCTTTAGCATCTAAAACATTATTTTTTTTACCTAATTGGAATTACAAGATCAGCCTTCTCTCCCCTGTGGCAGAAATTTTGAACTTTGTATCCAAAGCAATTACTGTAGTGACAAGACTAAAGACAACGGATATTAAGCACAGTCCATTTTTGTTCCTAAATCCTCAGCTGTATCATCAAGCTTTCTGAAATGAGCTAGGACTCAAGATCCCTCCACCAAATTCCCCCAGCACTTCCAGGGGGAAAGTCAATTGAAATTAACTTAATTCACCTCAGTTTCCTCCCTACCCTGTACCCAAAACATTAATTGCTTCACCTTGATAATTTTGGTCTACTCTATGACACCTCTAAAGATGTGACAAACCCACAATTGCCATCCCATTTGGGAAAGGAGTCTTGATTGCTTTTCCTGGGAGACTATGAAGTAAACAAACTAGCTCTAAACAAGAAAAGCAGGTGAATATTCCTGTGTTCTTTCTTGTGGAGCTAGCCAACTCCCAATTGTCTATTATTTAATTATGATCTATAACGATACAGAAGCAGGATCACTGAAGCCTGAGCATTCTTCACATGTTTTCCATCTACCCAAGGATGACTGTTTCAAAATAACCTTTCCAAACAAAGTCCAACCCTAACAGCTTACAAGAAAGAGTAAAAAATGTATTACAGGATTATTTAAAGCATGCAATGCTACAACAAACAGAACTGTATAACAGAGGTCTCTTCCAGTCTACGTCCACCTACAGAAAAGGCCCTTAGGTTTGGCAATAGCAACAAGCAACTAGAAAAAAAGAAAGTGCAGCACAGCTCAGTTTTTGTACAAACCATTGCCTCATATTCAAGCTATTCCCAGACAAAAAGGATGAATTAAGATCCTATGTGAAAGCTAATATCTTTATGCTTAAGAATAGAAAAAGGAGAAGCAAAGACACAATTCCAGGTTTTCAATGGCAGCCTCCAGGTCAACCACATAGCCTATACCTCCCCACCACAAGGGTATGGAATAAACTTGGTCAAAATCAAGAGCTTTTCTCAATAAGGACCAGAAAATAATGTATCAGCCACACAAGTGGCTTAAAATAAACCTGATAAATCTATCCATCCTGTCTTGCTAGCAAATTTACTTATGGAGTATGACCAGTAGCTACTGTCCATTATGTGAAGGGAACAGCAAGATCACACCTGGACTCCCTCCAGCTAAGCTGCCTTCTCCAAGTATTTTTACAAAATGTCTGAATACTGTTAACTACCTGGCAACACAGGGCACTCAGCCTCAGCTCTGCCAGTATTTTAATGAATCATTGAATATGCTAAGCTGGAGGAAACACACAAGGCTCATCCAGTCCAACTCCTGCTATAAACGCTATGTTGAAAGACAATGTTGAGCAATATAATTGAAAAATAGTTATTGCTTCGCAACATCAAGATTATATCGGTACAGTGTGCTGAACTTCCCTTGTTGTAATAGTGTGACCTTAAGACAGCCTGGTCAATCCACTTCTGAATTGGGAATCACCGAGAGACACAGCAGCAGCACAGGGATTGCCAAGCCCTCCGTATGCACGCCGGAGCATCGCAGTGCACAGCACAGTACGCACAAGACAGCCAGCACCTCATCGCCACGGCTATTTACCCAGCTACCATAACAACACAGAACATACCTTAATGTAGCGAAGCAGAAGAGGTATAGTCTTATATACTATACTTTATATATATTTTTTATATATTTTTTACTATAGAAGAGAATAGTTAGCGACTATTACATTAAGTAACAAACGCTAATTAATAGAACCTCAACCCCTTCAGACGGCAAGCAGCAACCAGGTATCTTTATAAATACCGATACCTTCTCGTGCCCCCAGCATGGCAGAGAACCCCCACCTGTGCCCGCAGGCAGCGCAGCCCGCCCGACCCCGCACCTGTGCGCGTAGTGCAGGAGGAAACAGCCCAGCAGGACGCGGTTGGGCCGGGCGGTCGCGACTNAGCAGCAGCAGCGGCAGGAGCGGGGCGGCGGAGCCGGCGGCGGGGACCAGGCGGTGAGAGCCTGGCTGGGGCAGGTAAAGCGGGGCGGGGAGCGCTGGGGCCGCCGGGCTGACGGCGGCGGCGCTTTTCTTCAGGGCTGGGCCGGCGGCTACCCCGAGATCGTGAAGGAGAACGAGCTGTTCGAGCGGTACTACCGGGAGCTGGGCATCGTGCCCGCCGGAGAGTGGGACGCGTTCATGGCGGCGCTGCGGGAGCCTCTTCCCGCCACGCTGCGCATCACCGGCTACCGCAGGTACACGGGCTGGGGCTCCCGTGGGGCCGCGCTCCGGACAGCGGCTGTCAGAGCCACCTGGCACAGGGGGAGGTGTCCCGCCCACGGCAGAGGGGTGGAATTACGCGATTTTTAAGGCTCCTTCCAACCCGAACCATTCTATGATTCTGTGATTCTCCGTCCGGTGTCCCACCGGGTATTTCTCGTATGTAGCCACGCCAAAGAGATTCTCCACTGCTTGAAGGAAAAGTACTTCCGAGAGCTGCAGGACCTGGAGGTGGATGGCCAAAAAGTCGAGATGCCGCAGTTGCTGAGCTGGTGAGTGATCTGGAGACAAGGCATTCTGCATGTTCCTGCACGAACCAGCCTAGCTCATCGGTCTCTTTCTTCTGTTTCTGTTCTTTTCTCATCTCTTTCCCATCAGGTATCCTGAAGAGTTAGCCTGGCACACTAACTTGAGTAGAAAAATCTTACGCAAGTCCCCACAACTGGAAAAGTTTCATCAGTTTCTGGTTAGCGAGACGGAATGTGTAAGTTTTGGATAGATCTTGATTTTTTTTCTGGCATATCCTGAGCAATGTTTTACTGAAATACATTATGAAAGATGAAACTTCTTTCAGAAGTTCAGTAGCTCAGAAGAGTCTGGATTTTGTGTTGCAGCTGGCAGTGATGCATCCAGTGATTCTGGTGCATAACTGCAGCTACAAATATTTGCCTAAACTTAATTGCATTTTTGTTGTTGCTTGGGGATGTTCAAATGAGTCCTTGTAAAATAATCAGTTGCTGTTAGAAACAAAATGTGGTAAAAAGTGCATGCATGTGCATGATAACACTTAAGTGATGGATGTTTGTCACTTGATTAGAGCCACTTTCTCCTCTCTCTTGAGCAGAAACTACAGAATTAATGCCACTGGATAAATAAACAACTATTAGGAAATTACAATTGGGTGAAATACTGTGATTTTTTTTTTAATGCTAACGGAATTTAATCCTAAATTTATAGAGTGTATTTCTGACTGCTTTGTTATTTTACTATGTAACAATTTAAAAGTTTTGTTGCAGAAGAAATGCATTCTTTCATGGAATAAAAACACATTTAATTTCTTTTTTCCTTTCAAGGGAAATATCAGTCGTCAGGAGGCTGTTAGTATGATTCCACCTCTACTGCTTAATGTTAGCCCTCATCATAAGGTAAGCCTAGAATATAATGTGTACTGAAGTTTGTTCCCGGAACTTACCTTAAGTGAACTACAAATCACAAGAGCAGTATCAAGGCTGATACATGGTTCTGTTTCGTGTTGGTACATTTTATGCTTTCTGCACATCAACAGCAGGACTCAACTAGTGTTCAGATCACAAACACACTGTCAGAGGAACATCTGCTTTTCAGTTGTAATACCTTGAAAAAACCCTTCAATTTTAGGCAGTTGTATAGTCTTATTTTCAATGTATAAATGTGTTTAGCTGCATCTGAGTTATGTTTTCTTGTTACAACTTGCTCTTAAAGTAAGGTAACTGTTTTTAACTTCCTCTCTCCATCACACTGTGAACAGATGTAGTTTTCAAGATGCAATTGATCATATTCCCTGCCTTGTAGATTTCACTCCTCTATGCCTTTTGAAGAAGCTGAAAAGTTCTACTCTATGAATAATCTGTTAGATTAAATATTTTGGGAGAGCTGAAACATGCTGTTGGTGGTGGCTTAACAGTATAGGGTGCTAACTTTAACAGAAGTGTGTAAGGAATGCCCTTGGTATTTTCTTATGGCACACTATATGAATGAGGATATCTGGTAGCAAACTTTCTGATCTCACTTTGTTTTTAGAGTTTTCATACTCTGTGCTTGTTTGCAGACCGAGGTTGTCAGGTTACTCTTAGTCTGTTAAATTAATGGGCTAGTTGCCTTGCTATCTCCAGCAGCCATATTGTGTTCTTCTTGATTAAATTTTCATGCTGAATCTTAAAATTTTTTATCTATCAAAATTCTAACATATGTTTTAAAGATTAGCTTATACACAATTTTTTTTATATTAACATTACTTAGTATACATAATTTTTCACCTTTTTTTGTCCTACTTTCACCCCAACCCAGTGTATGACAGCTATAACTGTTCTATGTGAGGCAAGGTCTTCTCACTTCTTTTAAGTGAATAGTAAATTGAAAGTCTCAGTCCTGATGTGTCACAGGTGTATTTTGATTTTTGTCTGGAATTGAACAGGCGTTGAACACATTCATCTTAATGTAAAATACAAATTGTAGGGATATTTTTGCACATACATTGTATATGCTAAGCTAGCAATATATAGGCTTTACATTGAATGTTTAATTTGGGTGAGTATTGCAGTATTTTCTAGAAATGTGTGCAAGATTCCATAAATCAGACTAAGACTAGGTTCTTTATCCTCTCTTGTGCCAAAACAGCAAATGTTTAATGGTGTAATGATGTCCTGACTTGTCATTTAGGACCATTTGTGATCCTTAGTCCCTTAGCTTAGCTGCTTGTCAGGACCAGAATTACAGGTTACTTTTGTTTAACCAGCATGTTCTGTATGTCATGTCTAAGATGCTGATTCCATCTTCCACAAGAATAAAATTAATGATTGTCAAACCTCCCCTTAGCTGTGTTCATTTTTAATCTGTTTTCTCCCGCCATCAGTTTGCTGGACAGTTTTAAGAGTGTGTTTAGCCTTGTTTATTCTTCATTATCTTTTGCATTATCTATGAAAGTAGAAAACAGTAGCATCACATCTCTTAATTTAAACAGCAGATCTGGTACTGTCTTGTAGGGTGTGTTTCATGATGCATTAGCACTGCTGCATGACAGCACTTACCACACATTCTCTGGAACTCTCTTTGTGTTTCTTTGGGGGCTCTCTTCTGATTTAGTCTTGTTTGTGCTGGGGGCCTGCATGGGGATCTGAGCAGATTGTTGCCATCCTTTATCCTGTTGCACAATTTCAGCTAATTTTTACTGAAGCCAAAGTGTATCAGGAGATAGACATATATTTCTGAAAATCTGTAACTAGGCAAGAGGAAAGACTCTAAGCTTCCTTGCTTAAGAGAATGGTGTGAGATGTCAGTTATTTTGCTCCTGAAAGTGACTCTACCAATGACTCCATCACAAGGTGAGTTAGTGATTAATTAGGAGGGAGAAATAGACTAGAATTTAGGTGTTTGTGTTCCTTCTGTTATGTTCAGCTGCGTCAGGGCAGTTCAAACACCTCCCAAGTGCTTCTTCCAAGATAAAGAAGCAGGAGACCTGTACTGCCCTGATTTTATGCATTGAAATGTAAATGTGTGGAGAGGGAGAACAATTAATTTTTATAAAATCTATATAAACTACTGTCTCTGATTGATTTACTAATAGTTTAAAGAAAAGTAGTACTTGCTCTTGAATGTAACTTTGTCTTTAATATATGTGCATATATGTGAAGTTGCAGATAACTTAAGTTGGAATTGTTTGTGAACTGATAAAAGGATCGTGTCCCCAAATCTGTATTCTAGTTCCTCTTTCCAATTTTATTTCAGTTGATGTTTTTGTTCCTTATAAACTAAAGTCATTTTTACATTTTCAACCTTCAAAGGTAAAGCACACAAAGAACAGGATTGTACTTTGTTTTTTTTTCAAATTGGTCTGCAGAACAATCATAATTCTCCAGATTCAAAAATACTTAATTTGAATAAGAACATAGTAAATTTCTCAAGTACTGAAAAGGTACAGGGCAGGACTTCTTTAAACTTTCATATGTTTGTAGATTCTAGATATGTGTGCTGCTCCTGGATCTAAGACTGCACAACTCATTGAAATGTTGCATGCAGACATGAACGTTCCTTTTCCCAGTAAGTCTGGAAAACTAAAAACTTATGACTTGGAATTTCTGCTTTTTCTTGTAGTAGATTGTTTTTAATGTCACAGATGAGTATCTGCATTTAACTACATATTGAATTCACCAAGGGGTTGTTATGAGATTAAAGGTACCCGTCTTCGATTTGAAACTTCATGGGCTTCCTTTGCTTGAAAAACAGACATGAATTATATGTATCTTTACAGTTCAGATTACAGTACATGTGATTAGAGCTAAATATATGTATTTAAATCAGGTTTACTTAGTAGATGGTGGCCCATGAGCCTCTGTGCTTTTGTAGTATCCTGCAAGCACTGGATTAAGCTGCTTTAGACTTGAAGCAATAAAAATATTTATCATTTTTGTAAGCTTCAGAATCTTTCTTTTTGGTTAGATGCTCACAGAAAATACTGTCCATTTACACTGTAACAGTTGTAGGGAGTGTGGATTCTTTTGGCCTTGTACTGAAAATTTGCTGATGTAATGATTGTCTTTGGTGACAGTGGGGTTTTTTTCTGTTTTAGAGGTTTTCCTTTGAAAAGTTGAAGGGCCCTTGGCTGTGTCTTACTGCCACAGGATGGGAGCTAAAACTCTTGAGACTATGACATACCAGTTAACCTTCAACATGCCTTAAGTTATTTTATGCTCAGTAAGGGCTCCCATATTCATGAGCAGTCTTTTGAGTAAAAATCTCTAGCGAAAGGTTTACAAAACTTTTGAAGATAAGGTAATAAACTATGTAGAATTTTTCATCTGTTGATTAGTAAAGCATTTTCCCACTATTTTACATTTCCAGATGGTTTTGTAATTGCCAATGATGTTGACAACAAGCGCTGCTATTTGCTGGTTCACCAGGCTAAGAGATTAAACAGTCCATGCATCAT